GAGGCAGCAGGTCCTGGCTCCAGTCCAGAGGAGGCAGTGAGTCCACAAGACAAGGCAAAGCAAACTCAGTCTCACGGGAGTAGGGGTTGAATGAAGGCTCAGGGGAATCAGTCCATAGGTGCACACAGCCCTCGGAATCTCCGAAGGCCAGGGCCTGCTTGCTAGCTGACACATCAAATGTCATTAGCAGAGGTCCCACAGGATTCACATGAAAGATGTCTGCTGGGTTGGCCAGGCCTGTGGGCTCACAAAACTGGCACTGCCCTAGAGGAGAGGAAGAAGCCCACTGAGCCCTGGAAGGTGAAAGGGAGCCATCTTTCTATAAGTCCTTTATACCTTCCTCACCTGATATGAAGGCCAGATGGGCCCCGAATCCATGCCTAGAGATAGAGTGAGTGCTATCTGAGGCCGTTCCTTAAACCACAGGACAGTTTGTAACCCAACAAAGAACAATTTTGAGTTATTCTGCCTCCTCCATATTTACGTTTTCTGAGTTCTTCATACCCAAGGAGAAAATAAAAGCTCTATTATGTGACCAGCAGATGGCATAATGGTTATGTCGTTGGACTCCCATATAGTCGACTGTGGTTCAAGCCTCAGATCTGGTGACTTAAAACTCATGCTGGGCACACGTGTATGTGTGCCCAAAATCCTGAGAGGAGAATGGAGAAGGGATTGCAGCATGGCCATCCCTCCTGGGGGATTTCTTGCCTTCTGTCTCTCTATCTCTCTCTGTCTCTGTGGCTAGTGCACACACCCTATAGCAAAAATCTCTAAAAAAAAATAAAAAAGAAAAGAAAAAAAATAAAAGGCTCTATAATCTCTGACCAAACCCAAGTGAAACTCTGGGATCCTGATGAAAAGTTACTTCTTCCTCCAACAAAAAAGTTTCTGAGAGAAGACTCCTTCTGGTGCCCAGTTTCTCTTTATTCATAAGTCCCTCCCACTCAACCCTATTAATATATCATACCTGACTGGGATATGATAGCAAGACGAGATGTGTATGTAGGGATGAAGCGCAGGAAGGCAGGATCCACGTGTACTTGGAGTGGTGTGATGGCACGCATCATGCGCAAATCATACACCTTAAGGAAACGATCACAGGCCAGGCCTGTGAGGAGGCTGGAGAAGCCACAGGCAGCCAGAAGATTGCCATGCACATCAAAATCCGACAGACTCCCTGAGAAGGCATCAAATTCATGCTCCACCTTAAAAGTACGGAGGTCTCGCAGGGAAATCTAAAGAAGAGATAACTCTGTTACCTAACAACTCTTACCAGGAAGAATACTTGCCAGGTACCTAATCTGGTGAGGTCCCTACCAAAAGATCTAAGGTTCTAGGAAATGGACAATTAGAATACAAATGGGAGGGACCAGCAGATGGCATAATGGTTACATTGCTGGACTCTCATGTGGTCGACCACAGTTCAAGTCCTAGACCCAACGGCTTAAACCTCATGTCAGGTACATGTACGTGAGTGTCCAAGATCCTGAGAGGAGAATGGAGAAGGGATTGTGGTATGGCCATCCCCTCTGGGGGGTGATTTCTTGCTCTCTATCTCTCCAGTGAGCACATGTGCCCTATAGCAGAAAATCTCTCTCCAAAAAAAAAAAGGACAAGAGAACACAAGAGCTGGAAGGGACCCCAAAGAGAACTCTCGTTTACCCTTCTGCTCCTGAGGTATCTAGCTAAGATAGAAAATGTTAGGCTACAAAGTAATCTCATTAACAATATGTGTGAGCAGGAAGTGAATTCACCCCCCCCCATCCCTTATCTCCAATCCAACAACACCCTGGAGATGAGGGAAGGCAGAGCCCAGTCAGACAGCTAGTGAAACAGAGCCACTATGTGACAGGAGGAGAAATGGAGCTTAGCCACCTTGCCAGATGTGTGGCCACAGAAGAAGAAGCGGTTCGTCTGTCTCATAATGGTGACTCCAGGTATCTCGACGGCATACTGGAGAGGGAAACAGGAGAAACCAGTGAGAAAAAGGATTCGTCTCACAGACCAAAGAGCAGAAAGATCACACCCACACCTCAGGTACGGTCCCAGCCCAAGCATACCCTCCCCTTCCAGGTAACCTGAGGCCCTACATGGTTCTTTCCTGCCCCAGACTTGCACCTTCTGAGTCTCCTGGACAGTGTTTAGATCAATCTCCAATATATGATTCTGCAGTCCACCAACAAGCAGAGTGCTGCTGTCCGTCAGCAGGAGACTGTGCATGTCCTCACTCTCGTCCAGCCTGTGTAGGAAAGAAAGGCCAAGAGGCCAGAGTGTCAAAGCTGCCAATCCTTTCGTCTTTTGGGGGACCCTTTCTGCCAGCCCAGAGCTGAGAAGCCACTTACAGGTAATCAAATATAATGAGGCCCCCACGGGCCATATACTTGAGGTTGTTCTTGGTGAGAAAAAGGATACCGTTCTCCAGGCTCTGAATCTGCCGAATATCATCACTGCCATTGACCTGAAAGGATGAGTAGCGCTCCAAGGCTGGGCCAAAAAATGAAGTGGCATGGCCCTGCAGGGGACAAGGATGACAAAGAAACCCTGAGTAGAGGGGCAGGGCCATCCCAGGTATGGGTCAGGGACTGGACATTGCTTAGCTCTTCTCTTTTCTTGCCTGGCCTTTCTGGCTAGGACCAACTGAGGCCTAAGTTTAGGGGAGGGTCAATCTCAGGTCAAAGACATGGATAATAGTGTCTTTTATTTATTTATTTATTGGTCTAGGGTGCATGCACTTGCAGAAGACAGAGAGACAGAGTGGGAAAGTGAGAAAACATCCCCCAGGAGGGATGGTCACACCACAACCCCTCCTCCTCCACTCTCCTGTGAGGATTTTGGGCACACATGCACATGCATTCAAGTGTTTTTCAAGCTGCCAGATCCAGGACTCGAACAGTGCAGTCGGTCATGTGGGATCCAGCCACTTTAACCTCTGTACACCTGCTGGCATGGATAATAGTGTCTTAACATTTGTTGAATGCATTACAAAGTACTTTCATAAACTCTACCTCATTTTATCCTCACAATGACCCTGCTGAATAGGGAATGGCTCTGTTGATTAGAACAGCATTCAGAAGGTCAGAGACAGAGGGCCAGCCCTCCACTAGCCAGCTGGCTTTCTTATGTTCACAGTCAAGACTTAGCCTTGGGGGACCAGCAGCTGGTGTAATGGCTATGTCGCTGGACTCCCACGTAGTCGACCGCGGTTCACGTCCCGGACCCGGTGGCTTAACACTCCCGCCGGGCGCGTGTGCCTGCGTGCCCAAGATCCCAAGAGGAGAATGGAGGAGAAGGGATTGCGGCGTGACCATCCCCCCTGGGGGGTGATTTCTCGCTTTCTGTCTCTATGTCTCTCTCTGTCTGTCTGGCGAGCGCACGCGCCCTACAGTGAAAATCTCTCAAAAAAAAAAAAAAAAGATTTAACCTTGGCCTGGGCAGGTAGGGCAGTGGTTAAGGCTGGACTCCCACATCGCTGGCCACGGTTCAAGTCCAGATTTGGCTGTATACTCTCTCAGTTTCCCTTTCTCGCTCTGGTCAAATTAAATAATAACAACAATAAATAAAATTAAATAATTCTTAAAAAAAAAAAAAAAAAAAAAAAAAAAAAGATTTAACCTTGGCATGGGCAGGTAGTGCAGTGGTTAAGGCTGGACTCCCACATCGCTGGCCACGGTTCAAGTCCAGATTTGGCTGTATACTCTCTCAGTTTCCCTTTCTCTCTCTGGTCAAATTAAATAATAACAACAATAAATAAAATTAAATAATTCTTAAAAAAAAAAAAAAGACTTAATCTCTATCAGCCACCTCGAAACTGGGTACTATGGGTCACAGGCTAGAACAGAGAATGTGAGACTCATTCCTCTCTCGGGTTATGTGACGACATTTACTCCTGAATTATCTTCTGACTTAATTCATACCTTCTCCTATGTGTTCTTTCTCTGACCACTTTTGAAACATGGCTGTTCCTAGCCTAACATCTTTTCCTTCTACTTGTCTCCATAATTAATCTCATCTACTCTCAGGGTTTAGACCATTCTCATTAAAGCTATGAATCTTGGGACCAGCAGATGGTGTAATGGCTATGTCGTTAGACTCTCATGTAGTCACTGTGGTTCGAGTCCCAGACCCGGTGGCTTAAACTCACGCTGGGCGTGTGAATGCGTGCCCAAGATCCTAAGAGGAGAATGGAGGAGAAGGGATTGCGGCGTGGCCATCCCCCCTGGGGGGTGATTTCTCACTTTCTGTCTCTCTGTCTTTCTGGCGAGTGTATGCGTCCTATAGTAAAAATCCACCCCCCCCCAAAAAAGTTATGACTATTTTCTTTCCCAGACTGTTCATTCAAGCTTCAGATTCATGCATACAAATACCTTTGTTAATTTAAAAAACATTTTTTTTTAGTTTCTTGCCAGAGGGTGTGTGTGCTTGCCAGAGACTGAGAGAGGGAAAGTGAGAAATCACTCCACATCACAAACCTGTCTCTATTCTCCTCTCAGGATTTTGGGCACACACAGATATGTGCCCTGTGTGATTTTCAAGCCACTGGGTCCAGGAACCCTGGTCAGCCATGTAGCAATCCAGTGCCTTAACAACCATGCTACCTGCTGGCCCCAAAATACCATTATTTAACAAAAGAATTATTTTATTTAACCTCATTTATTTATTCATTTTAATTTGACCAGAGAGGGGCAGAGTGAGATAGAGAGCAAGAGGGAAAGGGAAAAAGCAAGCCGCCAGGTCTGAGACTAGAACCACAGTTGGCCATGTGGGAGTCCAGTGCCCTTAAGCACCACACCACCTGCTGGCCCTCAAAATACCATTTTTTTAAATTGCCAGAGTGAACATGTGCTCACCAGAGAGAGAGAAAGAGAGAGAGCATGCATGTGCACACCTCCCAGTGGGTGTGATCACACTGCTATCCCTTCTCCTCCATTTCTCCAGCTTGTCAGGGTCTCAGTACACACATGCACACCTGTATTTTTCAAGCTTCTGAATCAGGATTTGAACCAAGTCAACCATGTGGGATGCAACTCCTTTAGCCAACAGGCTATAGGGCCAGCCCCCAAATACCTTTCTCCTTAGATAACTCATAAGAACCTCTAACTCATTACATCCTAAATTAAACTCAGTATTTTTATCTCATTTCAATTCTTATTATACTCTCTATGGTAATATGATCTACCCACTTGATTAACCACGTATCTGGTAGTCCAAGTTCTATTTATTTCACTTCTTTACCATATCTGTTCTAGTATACCCATCCACAGTGCTTTCCTAGCCTTCATCACATTTTATGGGAATCATAACAACAGCTTGCAAACTGATCTGGGCCTGCCCCATCCCCTTTAAATCAAACTATACTGCTACCTCAGCACTAGAATGCAAACCACATCTCTTCATTCTGGATAAAACCTTTCCGGTGGGGCCAGCAGGTGGCATGATGGTTAAGGGCACTGGGCTCCCATATAGCTGACCACAGTTCAAGTCCTGAACCTGGTAGCTTGCATTCTCACTTTCTCTCTCTCTTTCTGGTGAGCATGTGTGCCCTACAGCAAGCCATCAGGTCAGGGACTCGAAACGTGGTCACCCATGTGGGAGTGTCCAGCTCCTTAACCACCATGCTACCTGCTGGTGCCCCTTATAGCAAATTTTTAAAAATAGTAAGTATGAGTGGGACCAGCAGTTGGCGTAATGGTTATGTCGCTGGATTCTCACACAGTCGACCACGGTTCAAGTCCTGGACCTAGCGACTTAAAACTCATGCTGGGGGACCAGCAGTTAGCGCAATGGCTATGTCGCTGGACTCCCACGTAGTCGACTACGGTTTGAGTCCCAGACGCAGTGGCTTAAACTCATGCCAGGCACGTGTGTGTGCATGCCCAAGTTTCCTAGAGGAGAATGGAGGAGAAGGGATTGCAGCGTGGCCATCCCCCCTGGGGGATTTCCTGCTTTCTGTCTCTGTCTGTCTGGCAAGCGCACGTGCCCGCAAAAACCTCTCAAAACATTAAAAAAACACACACACACAAAGAAAAAAAATACTCATGCTGCGCCTGTGTGTGTGCGCGTGCCCAAGATCTCAAGAGGAGACTGGAGAAGGGATTGCAGCATGGCCATCCCCCCTGGGGGATCATTTCTTGCTTTCTGTATCTTTGGCAAGCGCACATGCCCTATAACAAAAATCTCTCTAAAATAAAATAAATATAATTAAAATAAATCTTTAAAAAAAAAAAAAAAAAAAAAACTTCAGTGGGGCCCCACAGGTGGTGGGGTGGTTAAGGCACTGGACTCCCACATGGCCAACCACGTGGTTTGAGTCCCACACCTGGCAGCTTGAAAAATCACACTGTACATGTGTACATGCCAACCATCCCTGGGTAGTGCATGTGCTCTATGGAAAATTTAATAATAATTAATAATGGGACCAGCAGATAGACTGTAAATAAATAATTTTTAAGAGGTTTTTGCTATAGGGCGTGTGTGCTCGCCAGACAGACAGAGACAGAGAGACAGAAAGCGAGAAATCACCCCCCAGGGAGGATGGTCCTGCCGCAATCCCTTCTCCTCCATTCTCCTCTCGGGATGTTCGGACCGCAAAGGATCTTGGGCACGCAAGCACACGCGCCTGGTGTGAGTTTTAAGCCCCTGGGTCCGGGATGTGGACCGCGGTCGACTATGTGGGAGTCCAGTGACATAGCAATTATGCTAACTGTTGGTCCCATCTTAAATAAATTCTTAAAAAAAAAAAAATGGGGCCAGCAGGTGGCATAGTGGTTTAAGTACTGGACACTCCATGTGGCCAACCATGAGTCCTGGACCTGATGGCTTGTTTTCTCACTTTCCTTCTCTGTGTGTCTTTCTCTGGTCAAATGAAAATAAATGAATGAATAATTTGAACTAAATAATTATTTTTTAAAAGAATTATTTATTTATTTCCATTTGTTATTGTTATTTTTTTCTTTGACGAGAGAGAGAGAGAGAGAGAAAGGGAAAGGGAGAAAGCAAGTCACCAGGTCCAGGACTTGAAGCATGGTTGGCCATGTGGGAATCCAGCGCCCTTATCCACCACATCACCTACTGGCCCCACGAGATAAATAATTCTTAAAAACAAACAAACAAACAAACCCTTCACTGGCCTGAAGGATCAAATCTAAGCTCTTTCAAACACAGCATATGTCATTCTCTAGAATGTTCTTTGCTCAGACATGTGCATGGCTCCTTCTCTCCCTTCTAGTGAGCCTAGAATGGACATCCTGGATTGTATCCAGATCACTCGCTACTCAAATGTGACTTTTCAGAGAGTGTTCCTGACTAACTAAAAGAGCAGCATCTCCCACCCTTTGTTATTTCAATACATTCATGCTACTATACATATTTTCTTTTTTTTTTTTTTTTGGAGAGGTTTTTGTTATGGGGCACGTGTGCTCGCCAGACAGAGACAGAAAGTGAGAAATCACCCCCCAGGGGGATGGCCACGCCGCAATCCTTTCTCCTCCATTCTCCTCATATTTTCTAAGAGCACTAATCAGGCCCAGCAATAGTGACAGTGGTAATACACCACTCTGCAATGCTGGAAGTCATATGGTAGATTGGGGTTTAATTTCCGGGTTGACCTAAAAATGCCAGGTACACGTACATTCCCATGATCCTAGCTGGTTGGCAAGGCTGTAGAGAAAATTGTGGCAAGAGATCCTGTTAGGGGGTTTGTCTTTCTCATGACATAAACTTAAAAAAAAAGGGGGGGGGCCAGCAGGTGGCATGGTGGTTAAGATGCTGGACACTCCCACATGGCTGACCGCAGTCTGAGTCCTGAACTTGGTGCTTGCTTTCTTATTTTCTCTCTGTCTTGTCTCTCTCTGATCAATTTTTTTAAAAAATGAATGAATAGGGAACCAGCAGTTAGCGTAATGGCTGTCGCTGGACTCCCACGTAGTCGACCACGGTTCGCATCCCGGACCCAGTGGCTTAAAACTCACGCCAGGCACGTGTGCATGCATGCCCAAGATCCCGAGAGGAGAATGGAGGAGAAGGGAATGCTGTGTGACCATCCCCCCCCCGGGGGGTAATTTCTTGCTTTCTGTCTCTCTGTCTCTCTCTGTCTGTCTGGTGAGCGCACGCACCCTATAGCAAAAACCTCTCTAAGAAAAAAAAGAATAAATATAATAATTTTTAAAAAATTGATCAACACTTCAAAGGTTGTATTATTTTTTACTGCTTATTACAAACCTAGACTCCAACTCCTAATAAGTAGCTCAAAAACACTAGCTGAGGGGCCAGCAGTTAGCATAATGGCTGTATCACTAGACTCCCATGTAGCAGACTGCGGTCTGAGTCCTGGACCCAGTGGCTTAAACTCACACCGGGCACGTGTGCGTGTGTGCCCAAGATCCCAAGAGAATGGAGGAGAAGGGATTGTGGCATGGCCATCCCCCCTGGAGGGGGTGATTTCTTGCTTTCTGTCTCTCTGTCTCTCTCTGCTTCTCTGGCAAGCTCACACACCCTATAGCAAAAACCTCTCCAAAAAAAACACTAGTTGAGGGGCTGGCTGGCAGGTGGTATGGTGGTTAAGGTTCTGGAATCCCACATGGCTGACTGTAGTTCAAGTCCCAGACCTGGTAACTTATTTCCTCACTTTCCCTTTCTCTCTCTGTCTCTTTGGTCAAATTAAAAAATAATAGTAACAAATAAAACTAAATAAATAATTTTAAAAAACAATAGTTGAATAAATAAACACCTACCTCTTCAGCTTCCAATTCAGTAAATCCTAATTGCTTATAGTTTCTGTACTCTATACTTACCATTCTGCATAATATCCTGGGACTCTTTGTTTATTCATAGCAGCACAGCTTTTTTCCTTCTCCCTCACCTGATTCTTACTCATCTCTTAAGACTCAATTCAGGTGTCACTTCCTCCTGGTGATCCTCTGACCCTCTCCCATGTTTTCTAGCACCCAATACATATTCTCACACTGGTACTTTGTTCTATGAAATTATCTATTTACTTATCTTTTTTCCCTCACTGCTCTGTAAACTTCTCGAAGGCAAAGTTTATCTTTTACTCAACTTTATTCCCTGTGCCTAGCATATCTGTATAAGCTGCCTACTGAACTAAATGTATCACACACACATAAATTCATCCCTTTTTTAAAAAAGTTTTATTCATCATCATCATCATTTTTTTTTTTTTGAGATTTTTGCTATAGGGTGTGTGTGCTCACCAGAAAGACAGAGACAGAGAGACAGAAAGTGAGAAATCACCCACCAGGGGGGATGGCCACATCACAGTCCCTTCTCCTCTGTTCTCCTCTTAGGATCTTAGGCATGTATGCACATGTGCATGGCATTAGATTAAGCCACTGGATCCAGGACTCAAACCACGGTCAACTAAATGGGAGTCTAGCAACATAGCCATTACGCCATCTACTTGTCCCAATCATTATTATTATTTTTTTAATTTGACCAGAGAGAGCCAGAGAAGGAAAGTGAGAAAGCAACCTGCCAAGTCCAGGACTCGAATTGCAGTTGGCCATATGGAAGTCCAGTGCCTTAACCACAGTGCCACCTGCTGGCCCTCAAAATTCATCGTTCTAATGGAAAAGCAATTCATGTCCTATGTTAAGTAAATTAGTAAAACAAGGACAGCATATTATTTCTTACAAAACCTCTTGGTTTCACAGCATATTGGCAATATGGACACATTTTTTAAAAAACTAACACTGACAACTGCTCTAAGAGATATTAAAGTCAAACAGAAAAGAGAAAATGATTCCGTGTAAGATATGCAGACACATTTACTCAACATTCTATAACTCAAAAAGTGGAAAAGAGGGGACCAGCAGGTGGAGTGGTGGTTAAGGTGCTGGACACTCCCACATGGCTGACCATGGTTCCAGTCCTGGACCTGGTGACTTGCTTTCTCTCTCTCCCCCTCCCTCCCTCTCTCTCTCCTTCCCTCCCTTCCTTCTTCTGGTAAAATTAAAACATGAATGAATGAATAAAAAATAAAATAATTCTTTTTTAAAAAGTGGAACAGAAGAGAGACATTACAAATTAGATTTGGACGGCTACAGAGTAAGTGATAGGTACAGTTACCAAGATTAACCAAAACATGGATGGGCATGCGGGCAAAAAGGACTGCCTTCTGGGGCCAGCAGGTAACATGGTGGTTAAAGTACTGGGCTCCCACATGGCCTAACACAGTTCAAGTCCTGGACCTGGTGGCTTGCTTTATCACTCTCCTTCTCTCTCTTTCTCTCTGGTCAAATTGAAAAAGAATAATAATAAATAAAACAAAACAAATTTATTCTTTAAAAAAAAAAAACAAACAAAAACAGAAATGCCTTCTGAGAAAAATATTCTTAGGAAACACATCCCTGGATCCTGGAGTCCATTTTTTTCCTCTGCTCACCACCTCTTGGCTTGACTTACAGACCAAGCTAACTTTCATTACTTCAACTCAGGTCTGGCTCCCTGCAAAGCATCCGTCCTTGAGCTAAGATCAGATAAAGAACTCCAATATCTCCTTTCAGCCCTCACAAAGGAATACGGTTCTTACCCCATGGCTTCCCACCCATAGCATCTCCTCGTGCAAGTCAAAGTGGGAGACGGAAACAGGAACACCCACTTCGGCCACCACACTGTGCAATTCGGAGTAGACGCCTTCCATTATGTGCACTGATTCCTGGACGGGAAGAGCCTCCAAGGCCACCCCCTCTGGGTCCAGCTCCACATTCTGTAGCAGACTTGGGTTCAGGTGAGCATCCAGTACAGGGTCCAGGGCAGAATGCATGGTTGGGGCAAACTCTGCCAGACCAGGGTCCAGACCCTCAAAGTTCATGATGATGATGGCAGCTGATTAGACTTATGTCACACCCTCCCTTGGCACAATCCCTTCAGATGCCTGACTCAACTTCAGCATGATGGCACTGGGAGGCCTAGAATGAACATCCTGACCTGCAAGGGGAAAGAGGAAACTGAGTCAGGGATAGGCCTAGGTACTGAAACTTAGTGTCTTCTAGGTTATGGGGACTGGACGAAAATGAGGCAGGCAGGAAGGCTGGGACCGTGAGGCAGAGGATGAAACAGGCAGGAGGGAAATAAGATACGGGGGTCAACTGCTGTCCCGGCCTCTCCTCTAGGCCCTCCAAACTCCCTGCCACCCTCTATCTAATCTAGCCGACTCCCTCTCTTCTCCTCAGGCATGTTCACTTGCCGAGCTCAGCAATGAACCATCAGGTGAAGGAAACAGGGGCTGTGAGGTTTGGCAGAGGTATCTAAGGTGTTTGATTCCCAGAACTGGGGTCAGGGGTATGCTAAAGGAGGGTCAGGAGAACTAGAGAAGTCAGTTTCCCAGGCTCCTCTGAATGGTTACCCAGGATTCTCATAAGTGGCCAGTTACCCACATTGGGGCGGGGGTATGGGGAGACGACAGAATCTGCTTGTTACCCAGAATTCTCCGGGGAAGCCAGGGAAGTCGGTTACCCAGAATTCTCCCTCGGCCGCGGGGAGGGGAGGGATTAGGGCAGGGGTCAGATGTGTTCCTGGGATGCTTACAGGGAATGGGTCATTACCAAGATTTCTCCATGGCGGATATTTTGGAGCGCGTGGAATTAAAATGAGTAGGGGGAGAGCAAGCGCCGTCAGCTCCGCGGGAAATTCCAGTTTCCCCAGTTCTCCCCCGCAACTCGGGCTCAACCAAACCTGCGGCGGGAAGGACGTCAGATTCCCAGTCGCCGTTTCCAATCAGGAAGGGGTCAGGGCACGTCTAAGCCAATCAGAAGGAGCCAGGTACCGCCGGCTCCGGGAGAAGGCGGGTGACGCAGGAGCTGGGCAAAAACGAGGCTACGGGCTGCCGTTGGGGACAAATAGCCTTGAGTGCCGCTGTGAAACTAATCGCTTTTGAACCTCTTTGAACAAAATAACCTCTAGCCTTGGAAACCGAACTTTTACGTTCTAGAAACTCTAGAATAAGGGACGCGAAGGGCAAAGCACGGGGAATCGACTGCTGGGTATTCCCAGCGTGGCCTAGTCCACCCCCTCTTCCCACGGGGTGCTTTTGTGAGCCACTCATCCACCTCTGACCCTTTTGCCCCCGAAACTCTCTGGCATTTCCTATCATTTCTAGAGATGGGACAGAAAATAAGGAAGCGGGAGCCCAACTTCTGACACGGTCCAAGTGACCACGTTTTCTGCGATTCTAAGGCATCCATTTAAAATTCCCATCCACGATTGTTCCTTCCCCAAAGGCCCAGCAATATTCCCAGGGAACAGTACGGCCGAGGACCCCGGCTGTCAAATTCCCCTACCTCATGAAGCTGGCAGTGAGGCTGAGCACGGAAAACTGAAATATCTGCGTTCCCAAAACATACGTGGGTTTACAGTCAGCAGTTATTCAAAGCGATTATTGGGGAATGTGAACTTCAACTGCTTTGGAATGGGTCCGGTTCTGAGACGTCAGGGCAGTTTAGCTGATTGTTATCACTGTTTCTAAGGCCCACAGAAAAGTGACTCCGGGTGGGTGGGGGGCGGCAGGTGGTGTGGTGGTTAAGGGCTCTGGACTCCCACATGCCAACCATGATTTGCGTCCTGGACCTCGCGGCTTACTTTCTCACTCTGTCCCTCTGTTTTAAAAACTATTTCCTTTTTGTTTTATTTTTCATTATAGTTATTGTCAATTTGACCAGAGCCAGACAGACAGAGAGAGAGAGAAAAAAAAACAAGCCACCAGTTCCGGGCCTCGAACTATGGTCAGCCATGTGGGAGTCCAGTGCCCTTAACCACCACACCATCTGCCAGCTCCGTCCCTCTTGTTTTTCTTTAAAGAATAATTTTATTGAACTCAATTTATTTATTCATTTATTCATTTATTTATTTAAATTTGACCAGAGAGAGACAGAGTGAGAGAGAGAGGGAGGAAGTGAGAAAGCAAGCCACTGGCTCCGGGACTCATACCATAGTCAGCCATGTGGGAGTCCAGTGCCCTTAACCACCATGCCACCTGCCAGCCCCAAATAAAATAATTCTTCAAAAAAATAAAGTTAAATAAAATAATTCTTAAAATTAAAAAGTGACTCTGGGCGAAGAAATCCCTCAAAGAAGATATAGTTTTAAATTTACTTCTTTCAATAAAAGGCTAATAGACCTTCGTAGAGCTGGCCCAGTAGACTAGTGGTTAGGGAGCCATATCCCACATGGCCAAACCAAGTTCCCATCTGTGGGCCCACTGGCAGCTTGAAAAACAAGATCGCCTCTGTGAGCCTGCCCAGAATCCCTGCAGGATGGAGAAATGAAGGAGAAAGGATTGTTATATGAACAGACTCATTGGGTGATTTCTCTCTCTTTCTCTCTCTCTCTCTGTCTCACTGGTGAGCAACTACTCACCCTCTTCACTGACTGGCATAAGACCAAAAAAGAGACCCCCATAAAAAAAACCAGACTTAATTAGATTTCCTTGATTCTGAGGGTTCGTACATCAAGAGAAAATTGCCTTAACTCAGAGGGTTTCTTTTTTTCAATATTTTATTTAACTTTATTTATTTAATTAATTCATTTATTTTAATTTGACCAGAGAGGGACAGAGACAGAGAGAGAAAGTGAGAAAGCAAGCCACCAGATCTGGGATTTGAACCATGGTTAGCCACGTGGGAGTCCAGTGCCCTTAACCATCATGCCACCTGCTGGTCCCAAAGGGTTTCTTAAATGAATCAGATTTTTTTTTTTTTTTTGCCACAGGGCATATGCATTTGTAGGAGAGAGACAGTGAGGGAGAGGAGCAGTGAGAAAGCACCCTCGGGCGAGCACAGCCATGCTACAGTACCTTCCCTTTCCTTCTCCTTTCAGATTGGAGGCACATGCTCCCAGTTCACTTTTCAAGCTGCTGAGTCCAAGACTTGAACTCTACAGTCGGCCATATGGAATCCAGTCACCTTAGCCACCAGTGCACTAACCGGTCCCTGACTTAACCTTTTTATGAGATTCTAAACTAAATTTTGAGAAATCTCCACATGGAAGTCTCGGATTAAGAAAGACTTCATAGTCACAGAGCCTGAGCTACCAGGGCTAAGTAAGTGACTCTATAAGTCGCAGATACTTTTGTGTCTCTTTACAGTATTCACATAATGCACGGATTAAAAATGAAGAATCTGGGTGCCAGCAAGTGGCATGGTGGTTAAGGGTGCTGGACTCCCACATAGCCGACCGTGGTTCGAGTCCCAGACCTGGCAGCTTGCTTTCCCACTGTCCCTCTCTGGTCAAATTCAAATAAATAAATGAATAAATAAAGTTAAATGAAAAAAATTATATTAAAAAAAGAAGGATCTGGAGCCAGCAGGTGGTGTAGTGGTTACATCACTGGACTCCCACATGGTTGATCATGGTTCAAGTCCTAGACCTGGTGGCTTGCAACTCCCAGGTGTGTGTGCATGCATGCTCAAGATCCCAGGAGAAGAATGAAGGAATTGTGGTATGGCCGTCCCCTCTAGGGGGTGATTTCTCATTTTCTCTCTTACTGTTTCTCTCTCTCTCTGAAGAGTACATGTACCCTAAGGGGAAAAAAAAACTCTTAAAAAATAATAAATAAGGAATGTAGGATCTGAAGCTGACTTTATGGCCGGGTGGTAAAGGCAGCTAGATTCCATATGACCAACTGCTTGGTTCTAGTCCCAGATCCCACGTATTGAGAAACAAGCCTGTCACATGTATGTGCATGCCCAAAATTCTGAAAGACAAGATGGAGAAGGGATTATGGCATGACCATTTCTCATTGGGGGGGGATGCTTCCTCCTCTTTTTCTCTCTCTCTGGAAAATGCACACACCCTCTAGCAAAAAACAAAAAGGAAAGAAAACGCAAGCTCTGAAGTCAGATTGTTGGCACTGGAAATCTACCTACTTGACAGCTCTGTGATCTTGGGCAAATAATTTATCTCTGTACCTCAGTCTTCTCATCTGTAACATGGGGATAATAATACCTACTTTATAGAATTGTTAGGAGAATTAAAAGTGGTCAATATATTAAAAGTGCATTGGGGGAACCAGCAGTTAGCGTAATGGCTATGTCGCTGGATTCCCACGTAGTCGACCGCGGTTCGTGTCCCGGACCCGGTGGCTTAAAACTCACGCCGGGCGCGTGTGCGTGCGTGCCCAAGATCCCGAGAGGAGAATGGAGGAGAAGGGATTGCGGCGTGACCATCCCCCCTGGGGGGTGATTTCTCGCTTTCTGTCTCTATGTCTCTCTCTGTCTGTCTGGCGAACGCACGCACCCTACAGTGAAAATCTCTCAAAAAAAAAAAAAAAAGGGCATTGGGACCTTGGGACCAGCAGTTAGTGTACTGGCTATGTCACTGAACTCCCATGTAGCTGACCATGGTTCGAGTCCCAGCCCCGGTGGCTTAAACTCACACCAGGCATGTGTGCGTGCGTGCCCAAGATCCCAAGAGAAGAATAGAGGAGAAGGGATTGCGGCATGGCTATCCCCCCTGGGGGGGTGATTTCTCACTTTCTATCTCTCTGTCTCTCTCTGTCTTTCTGGCAAGCGCACGCGCCCTATAGCAAAAACCTTTCCTATATATATATATATCTATGGTGCTTAGTCCAAGTACTTGGCATAAAGTGAGAGTTGGACATGTATTAGCCATTGTTATTAACCACCTGGGGGAACTTCAACTGGATTTGGAGTCTGAGCAACCAACTGGAAAGGCCTGCCTAGGAGTGTCTTGTGAATGTGATTTGCATAACGGTTGAAGCTCAGTTGACGTCAAGGGCTTCTTGAGGCTCCAGGTCATATGTGGCCCTGGAAGTAGTTCCTGCCACACGATTGTCCCACAATCGCCCCACCAACCCTACTTCCTACCCAACTCCTGCAGCACCAGGAAGTGAAACAAAGAGGCAGAGCCCCATGCCTCCAACTCACCCTTGTCCTCTTATCCCACTACCTCCCCAGGGTTGTACTTCCTCCTCCTTTCACCTTTCATCCCCTAACTTTTAGGACTCCCAGAATGGGGGAGGGAGAAGAGATCAGAGATGGGGAGAACATGAAGACATTATGTTCAAGTGAGGCAAACACCCCATCCCCCTTCCCTCCAATTTCCTTTTCTACTTGTGTCCACCCTACATAGGAAAAAGTAACCTATTTCTCACCCAAACTGACATACTTCTCTAATGCTAGAAATGTTTCATCCCAAGGGTAAGTTTACCACAGAATAATAATATTTGATCGAGAAGTTTCATTGGGCAGTTTTGAATAGTTCTAATGAAGAGACCTCCTTTGAGGTCAAGTTTCTCAGAGGAAAAGGGTCAGCATCTTAGGGAGGCCTTGGGAGCCAACTGCGTGGTCATCCATGGCCTCATCCTGACGTCCAAATTGTTCTGGGACCCTCCGCTGGGGTCGGGGCAGTCCCAGCTTTGGACCACCCTACGCTCCCACGCCCAACCTCACACTCTCAGCTGTTTCACTGGATGTTGCATCAGGGAGAGTGATGAAATCAGCGTCAGTGGATTTTACCCATGGATGCAACAGGCTGAATGACTGGCCAGGGTCATTGACACTGTGCACCTTCATCTACCTAGAACTCCTAGCTAAGGGTAAGGGCTGGGTGCTGGAATGTCTAAGTTGTACTTTCAGCCCTTACTTACATTGGTATTCTGAAAAAAGGTCACCTGAATCTCACAGAACTACTGAAACCATGGGCCACTATGCTTGAGGAATAATCGGGTGATTTTTAGTCAATAACTCTCTCCCTGCAAGAAACATCCTTCCCCCCAAGCCTCCACAGTTAGGCCTGAAGTGGGGGATCAACAACATCTTAGTAGCTTCATAGTTCATGAAGTGCCTTTATGTCCATTCTTTCCCATGAAACCTGGATCACCTAGTGAAAATAACACTTCCTAACACAGAAAAGGGGTCTCCTTATTCTTAGAAAGGGGGCATCAAGTAAGAGTGACATTTCATTCCAAACTGAGCTCACCATTCTGTTGGGAGATGAATGAATGCTTCTCAGTTTTGGTGTTTCCTCAGGCAGAAGAAGGATAGGAAATTAGGTTTGGGGTTGGGTAGAGGTATAGCTTTGAGAGTCTGAAAGATCAGGGAAAGATTAAAGAGGAAGGAACTTGAGGCCAGATTAATTTAAATATTCGTTACCCCCAACCCCTGGGCCATTTTCATTCTTGGAGAGCATTACACATGTGTCCCATCCCAGACCTCTAGCCACAGCAACCACAAGACTCATTTCCCTTGGAAATGAGGCTGCATACCTGGGCTCCCCATGGAGGGTGATGATGCAGGGATGATGCAGGGAGGGAAATCCCACCTGCTGTGAGTCACCTGCTAGTATAAAGGGCGGGCCTTACAATGCAGGGATCTTAAAAAGAGACTGGAAGGCAACAACGGGAGCAAAATAGCAGGAAGCAGCTCAGAAACTTGGTGAACAGCAGAGGGAACCAAGCCAGACATACAGAACAGAGAGAATCAAGCTTGGAACACAGAAGAATTAGGCACAGATTCCACAAGAACTTGTGCAAGGCATAGAGTCTGCCAGATCTGAGACGCAGGCAACGAGATGCTGGGGAGCAGAGCTGTGCTGCTGCTGCTGCTGCTGCTGCTGCTGCCGCCCAGGACTGCTCATGGCCGGGCTGTGCCTGGGGGCAGTAGCCCTTCCTGGGCTCAGTGCCAGCAGCTCTCACAGAAGCTCTGCACGCTGGCCTGGAGTGCACACCCACTAGTGGGACACACGGTGAGTGACAGTCCCTGGGGCCCAATGGGAGCTTCTCCAAACCCTCAAAGCCTGCAATGAAAGTCTGTAGCCTTGGGTGGAAGCCGGAGGGTTAGAGGCCATCAGAGAGTGAGAGAGGACAAGTAGGGTTCCTGAGAGAGTCATGGACCTAAAGGTCCAGAGGAGGTTTAAAAATACTTACTTTATTGGGCCAGCAGGGGGTGTAGAGTTGACATGGCTGGATCCTACATGGCCACCTTCACAGTTCAAGTCCCAGACTCAATGGTTTGAAAAACATGCCAGATGCATGTGCATGTGTACCTAAAATCCCAAGAGGAGAATGGAGGAAAAGGAATTGCAGCACAGCTCTCCTCCTTAGAAGATGCTTTCTCAGTTTCCTTATTTCTTTCTCCAGCAAGCACATGCACACTATAGCAAACCAAAAGGTAAATAAAATTCTTACTTTATTTCTTCATTCCTTACACTCCCTCCTCCCTTCCAGGATTTAAGGGAAGAGGAAGATGAAGAGACTACAAATGATGTCCCCTATATCCAGTGTGGGGATGGTTGTGATCCCCAAGGACTCAGGGACAACAGTCAGGTAGGTACCACTAAAATGAGGCTGGACCACAAGAGAGAGGGGCCTGGGAACATGACTGAGCACCATGGTGAACCAGAAGTTGTGTCTGCAAATGGCAAAGACCTGGGTGGATTTTCAGTGAATAGAGCAGGAAGAGGGTATCCATCTTTCATTTTTTTTTTTTTTCTTCCTAGTTCTGCTTGCAAAGGATCCACCAGGGTCTGATATTTTATGAGAAGTTGCTGGGCTCAGATATTTTTACAGGAGAGCCTTCTCTACTTCCTGATGGTCCTGTGGGCCAGCTTCATGCCTCCCTCCTGGGCCTTAGCCAACTTCTACAGGTATGAACTGGGGGCCTGAAGGATGGGGGCTTATAGGAGTCAGAGATGGAGGGTGGGGACTAAGGATCTCCTCTCTGACTGTGTTCCATGTCCTTTCAGCCTGTGGGTTACCACCGGGAGACTCGGCAAATTCCAAGCCCCAGTCCTAGCCAGCCATGGCAGCGTCTCCTCCTCCGCTTCAAGATTCTTCGTAACCTCCAGGCCTTTGTAGCTGTAGCTGCCCGGGTTTTTGCACATGGAGCAGCAACCTTGAGCCCCTAACGCCAGCAGAGTAAGGATGATACCCAAACCTCCATGGCTCAGCAGTGCTGAGACAAATCTATTACCCAGGCCAACTGTGAGCCAAGTTAATGAGTCCATTAATGCCAATGGGACTTGCATATTTGAAAAATTGTCGATGCTGACTGATGGTGCTGACCTGTGACAAAGCTGAGTATTTATTAGATGGGATAGGAAATTTACAGATTATTTATTTTTGTGGAAAC